GAACGAAGCGATAAATAGTTTACAATTGCTTGATCGTGTGTGGACTCGAGCACGCGTGCACGTGCCATTTTCGTGCGTGCAGCTCGAGTCATCTGTCGTTTCTCGTTCGCTCGTCATGAAAGAGTTTAAATCTATCGCTGGCACGCACGGATTACTTAAGAGAAGTCAAACAGCGACACGCGTTCGTCTGGCCCGTCGAACCGCTCATTTCGCTCTGCGAATCGTTTCGCGATACGCGAAACTCTTTGCGGTCGTATCTCGGGATATTCCCGACAAGTCTGTTATTTAGGCAATGAAACCTAACAGTGTTTATTTCGTTAATTGCATCGATATGACACGAAACGAGATTAGAACATCTCAAAAGACACAAATTTCTACAATTGCGTATAGTTTAATTAATTAAATAGAAACTCAATTGAAATCTGTCGATAATGACCAAACAGTAGTAGATTCGACGTAAAATTAAATTATTGAACTATTTAAAAGTAAAGAATTTAATTTGGATTTTATTGAAGTTGTGTTCAAACACTATTTTATTTCAAATAAAGAAATTTTATTTGGCAAATCTGTCATCAAAGGATGAATTATATTTTATATTTTACAAACTAAAAGAGGAACGAAACTAGGAATTGGGATCATCGTATTGGTAGACTTTAAGGGAGTACTCTTTTTTCCAATTTTAGGCAATTTTCGTGATTTAATCTTGATATAATCTTTTGAAATTTTCGACTGTCCTACTCAATTTGTTTACAAGTTACGCGCAATATGCTACGATACGTCAGCCAGAACGGACCAATGAACTTTAGCAATTTAAAATGTATTTTAATGTAACTTGTTAGAAATATTTGAAAGAAATAATTGTTTAATTCTCTAGAAAAAAATACCCCCCTAATACGTCATAAAAGGAAAACTAGGCGAATCTATATAAAATATCGAATACTATGATACTAAATAATATGCGTTCAGCCTAAATGAACTCCTTTGAATATTTATAAGATTTTTTGTGGTAATAATTGACCGAACACGCGTTATCCAAAAATAATTCCGAGCAGTATGACTCCAATGCCTGCGGCAATTACGACTGCAAAGAGCTAACGATGGAATATTACCCGAAGGCGACGAAGGGATGTGTCGATCGAATAAATTTCGCGCGGATTCGCTTCGACGAATGTGCCTATGCAAATGAACGCTAATTGGAAATTCGCTCGCGACGTTCGTCTTCACCTATTTGCATATACTTTTCTGGACAATGTTACTTGCATCCATAAATACGTGAATAATGATCGATGGTTAGGCACAAAAATTGATCGTGTATACATATATGTTCATTACTAAGGTGGTTCCTAAAAGAAACTTTAGGATTTTATTTTTTAACAAAACATTGTACAAATGGTATTAATTTTATATGAAAATATGATTGACATTAAATTTCAAAAATCATGTTGTTTAAGTGTTTACACACTGTAACTACACTGACAATTGAATTTTTTTATTAATAAATAAAGTCCTGAAGTTCCTTTTAAAAAACACTTTATGTAGGCTGATTAAGAACACGTACAAGTGAAGTTGTCCAGAAGTAAAATTAGTTTAAAAAAATCAACTGATATCCTTAAATTACGTGACTTTATAACGTGTCTTTATCCTCTAAACATGTTTGTCTGCTTAATAACTTCCGGAAACTTTATAAGAATGATACATGAGATTCTTGACCTATTCCTATCAGCATCATTGACTGTAAATTTCATACAAACAAGTAGGTTACGCAGTTGATCAATGACACAGCAGGAGTAAAGAACATCTCATACAGTTGTTAGGTGTGAATAACGAGTATTTGGAAGAGTGTAAAACGGTTTGAGCGATTGTTTGGATTTAAAGATTGGTTGTAAATGAAATCTGTATTTAAATAGATTCTAAGAATCCACAGGGAGTTTTTGGCATAAGGTGTCGAAATATATTTATTATTAGTCGAGGACTCGCAAAATACTTATGGCACCAGTTTGTGAAACACGATTTTTGTTGTTAAATATTGTTTACAAATGCATGTAATACTTTTTCATTTTGTAGCTAGCTGAGCATTGACATTGTAACGTAACACAGTACGTGTGTATTTTCTTTTCTTTTAATAATCTTTTAATTTTATAAATTTAATTTTGGTAATCTTCAATCTGTCATCAATCAAACAGATACATATTTCACAGGTTATCTTAATCATACATTTACCGACTTTTTCTTCTGTTTTGTAAGAGTAAGAATAAAATTAAAAAGCATGTCAAAAATTAATTAAAGAACAATATATCGTTATATTTATTTTATTATTCTGACACTATAGAACGATATCGATTAAAATAATATCTATAATTATAACAAAATATAAATCACGTATCTTGTTATTTTCGAAAAGCAATAAAATTTCTATTTTATTTAACATACTTCTATAATATAGTTCACCAAAATTATACAATGTCAATCATACCACTTCAATTTGTTAAACATAAATTTCGTTTTAACGGATTACTAAAGAGAATGTTTTTAAATCTGCATTATTAATTGTCACGAGTAATTTGTAATTTTGGATTATTCATGGTAATGTGTTTAAATTCTTGGCTCGTTACGTGTACATTCCTGGAGCCGTAATCGACATGTAGGGTGAAAAAACGTTTGTTATTCGCGCAATCGTTATCCACGTATGTTCCACGACTGTTGTACAAAGTCGGCTGGTTAATAACGGAATAATACAGCGAAGATAATCGAAGGAAACCGTTGGACAGATGTTCAGTCACGTTTTCGTGTGAAACTGGATCGTGTATCTTCCATTGACTCCGCGCGACCTTAATTCGATCGACCATTGCCGAAGAAAAGCAGAAGAGCCGCCATTGTCGAGACTTAATTAAAGAACACGCGTGGTTTAGTATCTCACGAACACGGAATTTCCGCAAATGAATATCGCTAAGATCAAGTTCAATATGTACAAATATTTAATCAATGTAACACCTTCTATGAATCATGAAATTTATTTTCCTCGTAAACACAGCATGGTAGCATGAAGCTTGTTAAACATTAACAGATTTAGATATTAGAACAAAAATGAAAAAGTAATCAAAGGGACACAGATCAGTTTAAAATAAATTTCTAAAAAATAAATTGATAGTAATTGAAACTGAAATAAAATGAAACAAAAAACGAGAAAAAAGTTGTGTGATAAATATAGAATGACTGAAGAAGAAAAAATTAAGATGCTTGCAAATATCTTAAATTTATAGATTGGAGTGGTAGCAGTAATTATTCATGAAACTAAAATTTATTAAAATTGTATTACATATTGAATGTATATTTTATATATTTATAAATGTGTTTAGAATATATATACTTTTTACATGAAATGCATAAAATCTACAGTATTTAAATTATTAAATTAGCTAGCCTTTCTTGATTCTGTACCTATAAAAAATCTACAAATTATTTCTAACTAAAAAACTATATACATATTTACAATGTATCGTTTAAATTATACAAACACGAGTTAATCAAATTATCTGCTTGAAATGTAGTAATCATCGAATTTCTTCAAAAGTCATCTGTAACTTATTCAGTATTATGCAACAGTTTTTATGTCTCTTCTCAGAGGCATTGACTCATTTAGGTAAATATTAGTTCTCTTGCTATAACAAATGAAACGACCGTGTATCAGCTATCGTATACGTGATTATGTCACGTACTAGTAATATCTTCGATCTTCGAATCTGTACTTCTATCATTTCTTTTAAGCATTCGTAACCAATGATTAATACAGATGTAACAAGAATTTCCGTTGCGAATAAAAATTTCAGAACTTACTTAAAAGATAAGCATCGGCAGTCTTATCTGTGTCACCCACTCGTTTGAAAAATGTTTAAAATCTGTGATATAGCATTATGTTGTGCAACATAGTGATTCATCACTATTTTGGCAATATTATTAGCAACTAAAAAATATCTTGATGGAAGGCACTTTTTACAGTCGTGCAGTTTAGTATGGTAACAATAAATCGTTAGTACAAAATATAACAATCTATAGTTCTGTCGAGTCTGAGGAATCTGCAGAATATTAGTTCTAATAAAATAAAAATATAATATAACTATCATAAAAATTTAATAAAATATAAATATAACCATTACAAGGAACTATTTAATATAATTTATGTCTTGATTAATATTGGGACTAATAAATTTTTTTTTTCAAAAACACTTCCTTGTTGATTGTACATTGACAACGTTGCTTTTTATATTATATTTTATTCCTCGAAACATCGTATGTCGAGTTTGAATGTATACATATAGGTATCGATATTGCTCTTACGACTTGCATGATCGATTCCATTATTACGAATCAATGTCTGAGTATAATTCCTGGAATCACGTTGATAGAAATCAAGCAAATCTAGCTTCCTTAAGGATGCAACTATTGTTAGTATCTTTCCTCTGGCGAAGGAGAAATTAATCGATCAAAAAATCGATTCAATACACGTTCCGCAAACTAATTATTCAATTTCTATTGATGAAACACTTTGTTCCCTTTTTTGACATAACTTTCTATTGTATTGCAGCTTCGTTTCAGATGTGACTGAACTAAAAATTGCAAAATTCGTTCAAGCAATCTTGTAACTCAAGATTGAATTAAATGTTGACTTCAATTATTTTTTCAGTAAGTCTTTATACTTGTTCGTCTTTAAAGAAATAACAAAATTACAGTAGTAGTACATTTCAGGTATGTTATATAAGAAATAAGGCTCTACTAAAAAAAAAAAAATATCGTCCTTTTATGACGATGTTAATAATCATATTAATAAATTAAAAGTATCCCATGATGCGGATGACTGGGTTAGTGTCTAAATTAGGTGCGCTTAAAAATTAATTAGCACGAACTCCATTAAAATGTATTCAATGTACAATTTCCTCGTAGTTTTAATACTTTTGTCTTGTTTCTTTATAACTGATTTAATATTTGCTTACTGATTGTTACAGATGGAACTGCATAACAGCCCCAATCTAAAGAAGAGCAGCTTGCGGGGTGACGAAATGACGCTCAAGGAACCTCACAGGTGAACGAATATCTTGCAGTATTAGTATTATTATTACACTGTTACTGATATAGCACTATTTGTTCACCAGTATTTTCTTTTAAATCAAATTCTTCGTACGTTATTAATTTTCCGCAATGTTGCAATTGAATTATCTACCGTCAGCAGGACGGTTCCGTTATTCACTATGTTAGAATGTCACGTAACTGCAGGTTGTGTAACCATCAATGTTGCTAATTAGAAGATCATTACCGGAACGCGTATGTGTAATCTTCTATCGTTGTATTACTTCCATCCCGTTCTTTTTCTTATAAATAGTATTCTTCTTCTCGTGTAGACCAAGGATATAATCAAGAAAAACTTAATTGAAAATTTCCGAGACACAAAGTGTCAGAGAAACATCGCAACTATGATGGATGGCTCTTCACTTTCATTTTATTCGCGAAGTAATGCCCATAATTAAGGTCTATTTACACATATCCGTAACGTGTCAGTTCTGTATGCGAACCGTATCAGTAAAGGTCGATTCAGACTATACGACACGGACCGTCACGTTCTGGCAACGACACGTACCGGCATCGACACGACAAAACATTAAAACACGCGTTTCAATGGAACTATTCACACTTAAGGTCTATTTACACATGTCCGTAACGTGTCAGTTCCGTATCCGTACCCTATCAGTAACGTCACGGAGCGATGTCGGACGTGTGTGAACATGTCCATTCAAAAACAACAGAAGAATATTTAAAATCACTAAGACTAATAGAACATTACGGAACTGAACGGATACGGAACTGACAGGGTTCGAATATGTGTAAATAGATCTTTAGTAGGCAATTTATATTTGTTGACATCCAAAGTATAATATTTGCGTTTATGTTGTTTTACGATTGAAAACCAGCACACAAGCGAATAAAGCTTAGTATTTAGTTAGTTAATTTGTACACAAAATAGATAATAAATTAATTATAACCGTTTCCCTTGAATTGTAGAATTTTCTTCCAAATTCTTACAATTGGAAAAGTATTTTATCGGAATTCTTAATTTTCAGGTAAATTTGTTGCACCTTATGGTTTCTGTTTGAAAAAATATTAATCATACTGTTATATATCCATACTCATAAATGAAACATTTTGACTTTCAATAAAACTGTAAAAATTGAAAGTATGAGCTAACTACAATCAAGGATTCGTTACAATAAATAATGCTTGTATTGAGCCTGAGGTTTGCCTTTTTCATTTACTACATTCAAAATTGGTTGCATGCTGCATCGAAGTGTGCGAATTGCTTTATAAATTTCACATCTTTCTTAATGGATATGTTATGGTGTCCCTAAAGGACTGTTAGTGGTGTCCAAACGATGCTCATCAAAGACATTGCAATTTATGCAGTCCATCGATGACCGAAATAGTTAGAGGAATAGACTGGTAGCATTAAACGAATAAATTGCGAAACGCGCAAGCTTATATACATATGTGTTCCTGTTTCAATGGTAAGACCAGAGCCAAGTGTGACGTAGCTGGTTGGCATCCAACGATATTTCTCCGATCTAGCATCGAGGCATAAAACTTCCACGGCATTCGATTCGGTTTTCAACCGTTAATCTATCTTTCATAAGGTCGAAGCGTCAATTATGCAGATAATATGCAGTTGCGTCGAAGGAAACGAGATTTTCCTGCATGTACAATTCGCAGAGAGTTCGTTACGCAATCGATATTATCTACAAAGATTGGTAAACACTATCAGATGGATAGAAATTAGATTCTCAATTGTGATATACAATTGTTTATTACCCAGAAGTTGATCTCGAAGATTCATTGTAACCATGTGCGCACATTGTTAAATTATTTTTTCGTCGCATTATTCATTAAGTTTTCGCTAATTACGGGTTTCATCAAATATGCGCAACTGACAAGGTCAGTTATTCAAATGGACGACCAATTTTATTTTAAATCCCTGTTTAGTCAATGCCAAGAAGTTCTCTAACTATAGAGGTGAAACTTGAACGATTACTTTTTAAAAATATAGAAGAATAGTAAGCAGCTTTAGTCAGTCATCTTCTGGAAACGTACAAATATAAAAATTAAATTTACGAATTTAATTTCATCGAAGTGAGTAATAATTTCTAAGCATAAAATTGTAACAAGATAATTCCAAAATAGTTATGTGAACTTGAGAATTTGAAGGAAATGCAATATATTTGCAAAAGTCTTGTTTCCTTCAAGAATTGTTTTTTGTTCTATTCTATTTGAATCTTCTTTTTTATCCACGCTCTCAATTTTATTAAACCAACTTTAATGAGTCATCTAGTTATTATTCTTCACAGTCATTTTGTGCTTTAATTCATTCGAATATTTATTCATAAATGCACACTTAGTAAGAATACTGGTGAAGACGGAAATGACAACATTAGTTTAATTATAGTGTCTCTTTCTTTGGGTATTACTGGAACTATTTGGGATGACGTGTTGGTTTTTGAATGGAAAATCAGACGGATTGGTCAAAGAATTATAAATAACCCGTGATAAATTGGACGCTGTTTCGTGTCACTGTTGTTGGTACGAGGAGGGGAGTCTGAAATATTTGTTCAGTTTAAAAAGACGTCTCTGACAAGACTAAAAGGAGTTTACCTTGAAATATTAATGTCAGATCGTGCGTACAGGATACAGGATTCTTGAAATAAAGAACGGACTAGATGTCACTTTCACTGTTTTAACATTCTTTCAACCGATGCACTGACCATGGTGCACTCTATTCAGATAACGATTTTTATATAGTCTATTCTTTTTTGAAAATTCATTTTCACTAAATCAGTAATGCAATTGTTATAGTACATAAATTGGAGGTCGTTTAACTATTTCTTATTCGTTCAATATGTATTGGAAATGAAAGTTTAGATTAATGGTGTACAAAAATTCACAAAATAAAGATACAAATGAATTAAAAGATCTATATGAGAAGAGTTAGGGTGTAATTCTTGTCACTCTTAAGTTTAAACCAGACGACATTTCTACAATACTACATTCTCGGGAGTAGATTCAATACCGTTTACATTTGTAAACAAGGTTTTTAATTACAAATATGATTAAAATTCAAAGTAGGAAATAATTGAAATATCAGAATTTAAATACAGGCGTGCATTTTAAAACCAGTCTTCGTAGAGTCCTTCAACCCCCAGAAGACAATAGTTAAAGTAACTTAACAAACCTTCGAGCGTACATATTTCAATTAAACTTGACATTTAAATTAATTCATGTATTTAAATTTAACATTATTATCTGAAATTTGCCCCATCAGAAAATGTCATTTTATCTTATTTAGCCTATCACGAGAGAGCCTACACACCACTGATCAAGATCAACACAGAGATCAACTTTAAGATCAATTTCTATCGCATGCTGCGTTGCCTTTCAGTTCCGTTCTCAGGTCATGAGATTACGTCATTCTCTTCGTTGGAATAATCTTTATGCCGATTGACCGTGCAGTTTTGACTACAATTCAAGTGAAAGTGTAAATGTTTACGTCGAAAATGATCGCCAGCGTCGTGATATCCGATTCTGTTAGCGCCAAGAAGTCTACCGTAGAACATGGAACTCGTGGTACGATAATCGTAAATCTCGAAAGCAACTGGTTTGACGTTCATGGAAAAAGTTAGACGTAACTTTATACAGATATAGGGTCGCCTGCGTTGCATTCCAGTTACACTTGTTGTGACTGGTCTCGGGTTTCCGCGATAGGGAGGCATTCGATAATTAGAAATCTCATTAGTACATTTGTCCAGTAATCCAGGGTTACGAATTAATGTTATTACAGTTAAGATTTCAAGAAATTACACTGTTCTACATAGTCAGTTACAAATATTACGCGACTTCTATCGTTCTACCTTTCTAGAGTTACATCACCATTGCAACAGTTAGATAGATATTATTATGTTACTAAAGTAAATTATATGTTCTTACGCTTGTTAATTTCGTAAATTTAGTCTCTTTATTAAATTTTATAAGCAGCAACATTATATTTAATAATATGTAAAAAAATGATTATAACGTATTATTTTAATTGCAGAACTATTTCATTAATGGTAAACTATCTTGGATTGTTTTTAAATCGTGGTTAACGATTGCTTCAACAATTTTCCTAATGTGTTAGCTTCTCCTTGTTAAATCCTCCACAAATATACATATGTATATCTTGAACATATATCACATGTCATAAATACTTGAAAATTATGGATAATTTCACGTATACTTGTATGTTAGTGTAGTTTTTTACATAGTGAATTTTAGAGATTACGAGCCTATTCCTACAAATAATAATATTCCCCTTATCTTTTTAATCGCTAAATGAATTGTAACTTGGAGAAAATATTTGCTTGCATAGATAAATATAATAATTGTGGGAAAAAATGAAAAAATTGTTGTCTTAACATCCGTTTAGCTGTCAAACAATTCATAGTATGGCTGACCATGCCTCGTTATAATTTTTTTATAAACACGTGTAATATCGACCAGAGAAATACCAAATAAATTAAATTTTCTTAGACTTAAATATCCTGGAGCCTTGAAAAAATTCATTTCGAAAACAAATCTTTTATCGTGGTATAATTGACTTCCTGAAAACATTAATCTTTTGTTGATACATTTCTTTCACAGTGTCAAGCCAACAGGGGCTATTAAGATAACCTGTTTCTAGTGGATTACCTTGTATAACAAAGTCGCATAACTTGCCAACAGTGTGACTAGCAGAAATACTAGACATTTAAAATTATTTGGTCCTGAACAAAATTAATAGCCTTTTGAATAATTACATAAATTATCATGTATGATATTACTTTTATAAGTATCTTGACATCATAATAATGTCGTAATAGAATAAATGAAGCAGATGATTAATTCGTTTACATAATATCATACATAAATCAATTTTTTCGACGTTTAAGTCTTCTATATTATGTCATGTTGGATTTTAAATCTTTCAACTGTATTTTCATATATATTTTTTCATTACATATGGTGTATATGCTAGTCCTAATATGTTCAAGTACTTCTATAATCATGTTTATTTAATTACAATCCAGTAAATAATTCCTTTAATTTTTATTGTCTTTTTTTTAGTTTATCCATGATTCATTATGCATATGGTAACCATTGTTGTCGAGAATTATTTACAACAAAATGTACTAAAACAGAGCCTTGCTTAACAATGGAAAAATATAATATTATACAATTATTATTTAAGTTCAACTGACTGATGTACGATTTCTCCAGGAAAATCGTTCATAATTATGCAATTTTGTACAATATTAAATTAATACGCGAGTGAATGAGAAGTGAAGAGGAAAATAACGAACCAGGAAAAATTTATTTCGCAGAAATGGCAGCACATATGGAGCCTTCCAGTCGAAGGATCCCATTTTGGCTGTCGAGAAGGGCAGCGACATGGAAGGCGGAAGTAACGAGCATGGGATTTCCGTCAACCATCCGACCTCGTAAGTACAATAACCTTCTTTCTAGCTCTTATTTCTTTGTTTCTCCTCTTTCGAGACAAAGACCTATGAGGCTTTGATACTCAAAAATTTAAGTAATAACAAAAAAATCAGTAGATCGTATTTATTTAAGGGGGGAGGGTCAAGTAAACAACCGCTTTTTTGCGAATTATTTTTGAAGTGTGCGTAATATATATTTATTTACAACTAATTACTTGTTATTTTGTAGCATCTAGATAATCTATATAATTTTTTTTATGTAAAAATATTCACAAATGAATGAACAGCAGCTGTTTGAAGTTAGCTTCTCGAAAATGCGTCGTGCAACGCACAGATCACTCTAATTATTTGAAATAAAAAATACACTAATTTTTCGTTAAAATATAGTGACACACTTTGCATAAACTTAGATTTAAAAAAAAACATTTTAAATTTAAAATTTCACGCCACATTAAAAAAATCTTGTTATAAAAATAATGATTAAAAACATTGTTTATTTCAATTTTTATAAAAACCTTTAGGTTGATGCAAAGGAGAATAGTTTAAGGAATATTTTGTGCCAAGTTTCATAGCAATCGGCTGAGAAATCTCTAAGCTACATTGCACGGCACGCGAAATTTTGTGTTTTAAGAAAAATGCGTTTAAAGTTTCCGGATCTAAAAATAGTCCTTCGTGCACCGTTCGGAGCGCATCACTTTAATGACTCTGTAGATACACTTACTTAGACTTCGAAGTTTTAGCTGAAATGATCGGAGCACATTCTCCAGATGATAAAGTAATTTTCTAAACAAAAAAAATGGTCAAAATTTTGAATTTTACTTGACCCTCCCCCCTTAAAAAATTGAACGTAATATTCACAAATATGCTTTGACCTTTATATGATTATATTATTATATTATATGATTGATCTTCTTACGAGGATTATCTTAAATCTAATTAAATTTAATAAATTCACGACTAACAATGAAATATTTGAGACTCTGAGCGCAGTAATAAAGCGACGAGGTAAGAATACGTTCTGTTACCTGTGTGAATGTGTTGTCATGAAGCCGCAGGATAGGTTCCGTTTTGCGGTTTTAGCTCGCACACAATTGTCTATGGTCACTTTCAGATGCCCACGAATATACACTCCAGTTCTATCTCTTTACAGTACTATCTGCCATGGAAAGGTACCATGGAAAGTTCACCTGGTTTACCTTTTGTGACAGGCATATTTATTATATGTATATTATAACTCTACATAAATAAATTTTCTCGATTACATTTATTCGTAGATTGACATATAGTTCTTTGTTGACGACGAATGACCGAAATGAAAAATGCAAGATACTCTTTCCCACTTTCTATATCATTCTTCACTCAGTATAGTAATATTTCACAGTAAAAGTACTTGTCTTTTGTGAATTTTACCATCTAGTTCATAGTCATTTCATTCATAGTCTTCGTAGTCATTTTTCAGATTCGTTGACAAGTGCACGACAGGATCTTTAACAAGTTTGACCGAAAGTGTGTTCATTATTTTATTGTTACAACTGTTGCAGCATGCTGCACCAGAATTTTGGCAAGTATAAGCCAACAGAGTTTAGAAAATTTGCTTGTTTGTAGCTGTAGATTCTATTAAATCTAAGTGTCTCGTGGTATTGTTCCTTTATTTATTATGAACATATGTACATTTGTAGTCCCGCCAAATACTAATGGTTATTAGTCGTGTTATCTATTTTAGTTATATTTATGGATTCTGAATGTCTATTTCATTTTTCCTTGACAACATTTCTGATACATCTTACAATGTTGTTATTTGGAATTAGTATGGAATTTTTGTTTTAATATACTATGTAATATTGCACAATACAATTTATAATACATCTTGAGAAAAATTGTGAAAACAAATGGTACATATAAGATACATGTAAGTAGACTGCAGATATTTATGCAAATTCATATTTTTATACAATCAGATTAATTGAAATTTAAAGAAAAGTAGGTCTTATCTTCTATAAACAATCTAACATGTACTTTATTGTTGATGTATTATACATTTTTGTATATTCTGATACACTTTTATATATTCCCATATTCCACTTGCCATAAGTGCATAAACATTCACAATCTACATATAATGTAAGTCTTTAGTAACGTTATAAACGTTAGACTACACAGGCTGCCCAACTCTTGTCTTCTTTTCTTGACCCACACGTGGCCACACCATTTTGGAGTTGTCTTGACAAATTTGGCAAGACAGGGTATGACTCATACAATTTGCAACTGTAACTTGCATGAGTCATACCGTATTCTCTATAGTGGAGTGAAACTTGTTAAGTCGCATCGACTTTTGCTTCTAGGATTCTAACCGTTCCTCGCTCGTTCCCACAGTTCTCTCCTTGATTTCCCACACAGTATCCTACAAAGGCTCGGAACCATAACGATACATAAGTTCGTGTCGCCTTATATCGAACGGAATTTTGTCCTAAGCAGAATAATTTATTGACTAATAATTTCTACATTATATCTATATTATTCGACAGGTCTCTGTTTCTTTACAATATTGCTTTGTCTTCAAAATTTTATCTAATGGTTAGAAATTTCAGGTTTAATATTAACCGCCAATAAGAATGCCTTGCCATTAGAGTAAAACAAAAAGACCAATAGCAACAATGTATAGAAGTAAAAATAGAACATGTGTAATATTTATATGGTTTATTGTGTGTCCCCGAGGGGCTTTTCCTGGCCACACCACTTTCCTCGTTTCTCTTTTTCTCTCATTTTTCTGTCTCTTCTCCGCATCTTCTTATTCACTTTTTTTCCTGCTCTCTTTTGCATTCCCCTTTTCCATTTCTTCCGAATGCTCTCCATTTTCCTTCCCCCTATTCACTTCCCTCCCATCTTCCTCCTTGCTTCTCTTTCCTTCCTTTTCTACCTCTTCTCACTCATCTTCCATTCATGGTACTAGCAAACAAAAATGTTTATATCTCAGAAACCGTTGACCTTTCGACCTATGTTTACTAAAGCTTTTTTACTTGGTACAGTGTGGCCTATATACCATATTAATATTGAATGGCTTTTCTTAACACTCTATAAATTCTATTCAGTCTTTACAAAATTTAACGTCCTCTTAGTGTTTTCTTTTTGCGTGTAGAGTGGCGTTTCGTCAAACGAAGACACACAGAAGCACATATAAATCTACATATTTTAGTATCTTATAAGTATCTCTCCTAGTCTCTCCTATAAGTATCTTCATTCAAAAATATTTGCAACAGTTTTCATACTAAGTGATGCTGACTAATCCATCATACAACCAATAAACACATATGAACTTGGCAGTTTCTTAATACACGATTAAGGATTAAATCCTTGCTCCTCTTCCCTCGCGATCTTAAACTGCGACCACGATAAAATCGTCCACTTTTTTAACAATAACCACATCGCCTCAACGAGTATTCCAAGTACTATGTGGAATCGTTCCTGTTACTTTGCCGCGCTCTTCGTGCAGGTATCTCATACGTGGAGGAAGGATGTAGTTCGGCGTATCGCGATTCAACGTTGAATCAGGATAATCGTGGTTTTCCGCGGGTATTACTTTCCAAGAATAACGTAAATTTGAGACATTCCGTTGTTCGCGGCATTCCCCACCGTTCTTCCTGTTGGACGTGGAATGGCAGGATAATTTGAGGGATAATGGATCCTTCCTAACAACTCATTGGTCGTTATTGCGGCGGTTAAATCACACCGTTCAGACCTGCATCTTTTTCCTCATCGCGATCGTCACGCGCAATTAAAGTGCAGTATTCGGAACCTCGGAGTGTAAAGCGTCGTGTATCATGAGTCTACTTTATAGGGTCTTCCATTAGGACATTTTAAATCGTCAAACATATACACGGTCTGTTTAAAAAGAAACCGAACTTTTGCTATAAAAAGAAAAAAGTACAAGTAAAGTTTTTACACACACGTTTATTTACTCAGAATAATCTCCCTCTGCGTCAATACAGCTTGTAGACCGTGTAATTAACATTTCGAAGGACATTTACAGCTCCTGCTTTGGTAGCCCGTTTAGTACGGCGGTTACAGCGGCCTGAATCTCCAAAACGTTGCTATAATGTGTCCCTTCCATTGGAATTTTCAATTTTGGGAAAAGAAAATAATCGCAGGGTGACAGATCAGACGAGTAGGGTGGATGATCCAAGGTAACAATGCCTTCTTTTTAGCCAAAAATTGACGCTCAATTGCGGCATTGTGTGCAGGTGCAGTGTCGTGCAGCAACAACCAACTTCGTTTTCAATAGACTCTCGATCGTTTTTAAATCTAGTGAACCACTCGTAAACTTGTGTATGGCTTAGGTATTCATCCCCATACACTTGTTTTAATAACATAAGCGTTTCGGTAAAAGTCTTTTTCAATTTAACGCAGAACTTAATATTAGCGCTCCATTGCGGTATTCCAACAATAGTCACAAAACGTCCGTTATATTTCAAGTCACACAACGGAATGTGAACGATTGATTCAAATGATATTGTGCACGGTCAACAATTAACGTTGAACCTATCGTCTTTTATTATCTGTAACTAGATGGCGCGATTAGAAAAAATTTTAGAGCAAAAATTCGGTTTCTTTTTAGACAGACCGTGTAGCACTCCTATCAAACTGCTGGGATAGTGAAAATTCGCTATAAGTAACGAAACAATCTACCATTTACAGGGTGTCCCAGGTTTTAATAGACAAACTAGGGAAGCATATACTACAAGTAGAAATAAGAAAAAAATGTTATTTGTAGTTTTCTCAGAAAGACTTTATTATATAGTTATAAGCAAATAAAGTTAGAATGAATGACGGCAGATTTTACTTTATGAACATTCAAAGGCATTCTAAGATGATACTGTAAAATAAAAAGGACGAAAAATGCAGGAAAAAAACAAGAAATACTTCTATTTAACAACAATGAAGCACATGAGCAGCTATATATTTATTGTTCTTATTAGTATTTTTGTTATGAAATGTTCGTAATGTTTTTTCTCTGATAAATCATGTTGATTGATACTTGTAAGGAAGGGTATTAACGCATGACATTTGCATAGAAAATCGCGTGGTCGTTCAAATAAATTCTCCGCCTGTCTTGTCTTGCGTCCTTAAATGATATGAAAGACGAAATCGTCCACTTTTTTAATAACAACCTCACTGTTGGCACGCTTAAACGAGCACCGTGGCGGATCAAGTATGACTGTCACGTGCGACAGCAATTTCCTTAATTTGCGAGCATGCGTAACATTAATGAAAATCACAATATGAAATAATTCATAGGAATGTAAACGACAAGTACGTTAATGTACGTTGATTTTCTGAAAGCACGATTATCACTTGTTCCTGAAATCTTCTTATCTTATCAGAGAAAATGCATACAGCACGTGCGTGAATGTATAAACCAGTGTTTTCCAATGGAGAGCTGAGTAATATTTTATTTGAATAATAGATGACGAAAGGGAACTGTGTAACGATTTATACATAATCTATATTCGATTAAACAGTTATTCGAATAAGTTGGGGTTAAAATGAATAAGTAGTTATTCGAGTAAAATTCTATTGCTCAAATACTGCTGTTACGATTAAGTTGTTTTATTTATTTTATATTTTTTATTCTAAATTATTTCAAATCTATTCTTCTAATCTTTTAATCTTTATCAATATATCGATCGTTGAAGTTTAACAACTGTAAAAGTATATTTGGCTTGTATTATTTTAAATATAGTACTCATCTCGTGTAAATATCTCAGATTTAGATTTTAGATACCTATTTATACAAACAGCGAACGTGATTAATGATCAACATTAAGCCTAGACTTTTCTCGCATTCGTAAAACCCGAAGACGTATCTCGAAATACATATTTTGGCATAAGTTTCCATTGGTTCGCGTAATTTCCACATTTAACTCTTCATTTAACGTAACGTTCGTGTCACGAAACGTTAATAGATGTGTAATTACCAGTTTCATTGAGACGTTGATTAATTAAAATGGCGGACAACTCGTGCACTTACGAAGCTTGACAAACAGTATCCATTTAATTACACAAAACGAACCAATTTTTCCTCGCTTTGTTACGTATCGCAATTCAAACTGTTTAAAGTGATAATTATTTGAACTTTCTACAACATTTGAAACTTATAATTATTTGCAGAGATTACGTATTTTAGTTTATATGACCATTGTCACGATTAAAGTCTTTTATATAATTACATATTTATACTTAAATTATTAAAAGAATTCACCAGTTTTATTACTATTTTTATTCACTTTTTTAGGGAGTCTTGTAACAATTTAGAAATAAACTGCTCGATCAAATATCGTTGCGATAATATTATATTTCAAATCATGTATGAATGAAACTAGAACGAAGCATTCACTTTAGAAATATCGTTGCACTGCTGTTCTTTTTTTTTAATTTTATTCAATATAACACAAAAATTAATTTTACACATTACACATGCATTTCTTACACCGAGGAAGACTGACTGACACTTGGATCGAAAACAAGTATAAATTATATTGCTGATTTTGATACAACTCGAAACTACCGATTGTAATTCGGAATTTGTATCTAGATAAGAATTTTGTCTATTTCAGGAATATTAGCAGGAAGACACTCAGCATATTTGAAGTGGAATGCGCTCACATTATTTTCGTCGTGGTTATCTATTTCCGTTCACTCCTCTTATTCGAAGAATGATCATGCTCGAGAATGGTTATAACGATAACTATGGATTACAGCCGGCACGTGTTTAGTCACGGTATAAAATTGCAAGAACGAACATAGGCGAACGTTTTCAAACTCGGTCGACCGGTTCATTCGCCGGTGATTTTAAATTAGCTCATGCGACGGGTTGCGGGAATGCTTGGAAAATTTCCTGTCAGGCCTACAGGCCTTTGTAACGACTTTTAATCTAATCTTCGATGAAGACAATTTTTTATTAGACTAAAGTAATAAAAAACTCTTTGATGGGTGCTCAAGATATTTACACAACTACGAAAAGTATTTAAAAAATGTAGATTCATGTATTTAATGACAGTTGCATTTGATTGCATAAAATCTTATTTATTTTGTGTAATTGAAAACAATTTTATTTAATCATTAACACTTTTATTTATTTAAATTATATTTAAAATTTTTTAAATGTTCTATATATTTAATAATAAGAGATATAAAATAATCATCAAGCAATTTGATCAGAAAATGTATACTCCGCAAAAAGAATAAACTATAACTAACTAACTAACTAACTATCAGAAATTGTATCAGATTTATGTACATATCAATATTTTTACAAATCACAATTACGAAGCTCCATCGATACAATTTGTATCGTTTGACTATTTCGACGCCATCTGTATCTTTTAATTCGACGGCTCGTCCAAAGAATTATTTGTTATATTTGCTTTTCTTACGGTTTTCTAATCCTTCTTCTATACTATAATTATTTTGTTTATTCGTGGGGAGCCTTCGAAGACTAATGTGTCTGGGCCTTACGAGAGTCTTAACGCGGCCCTGTAATGTTAATATGTATATACATAATTGACAGAGTTACTTATAAACGATAAATTATTACAGGTATGTAGAGACAATGATGCACCTGTTCAAAGGTAACGTTGGCTCGGGTATATTTGCGTTGGGGGATGCTTACAAGCATGCTGGACTGCTGCTGGCTCCACCGCTCACGATCTTCCTTGGGGTCATTTGTGTTCACGCGCAGCACATTCTTGTACGTAAAATTAGTTTGTTAAATATATACTTCAATATTCCAATAATTCGACGTGCTTGCATTCAAAATGAAATAAACATTTCTAGAAATTAGTACAAGCATCATATTTTAATATTTTCAGTTACTAGTTTGAAATCATTTCAGAAATTAACAATATTATCTGATCAATGAAGCATTTTTTTTATACAATTCATTGATATTTAGTATCAACACTGAATCGAGTCAATATAGTTGATAATGAAAACACTTGTGGGGTAGTCATTCAGCAAATTAACAGAAAGTGATGACAAAAATATTTAATAATCAAAAAGAAGTTAAAAAATGTATGTTTATTTGTCTACATTTTCATGTTACTCAATTCATTTTTGCATAAAGTATTTGCCACCTGTTCCTTAATCTTATTAAAATTTAGTTATTTTGAATAACGTTTCCCTCTTCAAGTCATCTTTTAATAGTATGAAATCAGCAAATATTAAAGAAATGCAAACAAAAAAGAATCTCCATAAATATTATTACTCTCTTCAATTTAAATCTAAGACAAAATCTCTCTCACCACTTAATACTTTTTTACTTCTATACTGAAGTATTTCGAATAAGTTCTCTTATTTTAAGATCTCTAAATTTCTTCTATCAATATTGCTGTATGATAAGTTGACCTCAATAGGGTCCATAAATATTGATTTTCTTACGATTATAAAATAATTTGAGAATTAACGGGCTATGTAAAAGATTACGCCATGCAAGTGAAATTTAATAATCAAAAAATTTAATTAATTTTATATTATATTTGATTGGCAAGATGTAACACTGGAATCATCCTCAATAATACTGATACAATTGTATGATCACAGGTTCAGTGTAACGAGGAGGTGACGCGTCGCGTTAATGATCCACAAGCTACGTCTGGATTCGCTGGTACCGTGGAAATGTGCTTCGCCACCGGACCTCTTGCACTCCGAAAATACTCTGTGCTTATGAGGTTCGTATGTGTGTCAGCAGAAGATGAAACAGGGACACCATCGACTGTTTGTTTAGCGTTACATAGAAATCCGACTGACGGTTTGTTTTGAGACATGATACAGCTTCAAATGAAACAAATCGAGCGACCATTACTACCAGAAAAAATTATTACCATAAAAGTGATCCTCGAAAAATATTCGTTTGACTTTTGTACAACTTTTGTTTAAATATTTTTTTAAAGAATCACTTTCTTCCAAGCCATATTTCTTTTTTTCTGCAGAAATATTTTTCTCATAATTAATAGAGATTGTTCCTGTATGTTATTTAACGAAATATGCATGATCTTGACTGAGGAAGGGAAAAATAATTTTTATAGATAATTTTAGATTTTGACTTCCTTCCATTTTTAAAAAATTAGTTTTCCACTTTAGAGAAAAACTGTTTATATGTTTTTCGTAACGAACCGTGGGATCTACAACGAAACAAAGTTTGAATTCAAAATTTTCATTATTAAGAGAGCTACGCATTTTTGCAGATTATACAACTTTCTACATATTTCCCCGTCCAAAACAAATAAAAAAATAGGCTCTGTCGATATTTTAGATCCTCTACGATATCTCTATGTCGCTCTACTTTATCACAATTCTTGTACCGTTATTTATATTGTCGATATTTGTTCCAGAAAATTGGTTAATGTATTTTTATGTATCACGCAACTCGGATTTTGCTGCGTATACTTTGTTTTTATAGCTAAGAATATGAAACAGGTGAGTGTTACAGCTTATCACTTATATTTAGTTCGAAATTTCGTCTTTTTAATGGAAGAATGATATTTCTTGCTAGGTGTTGGACGTGTACGGAATCGACATGGACGTTCATCAACATATGGCTGTAATCCTGATTCCCATAATGCTCAGCACGTGGATAAGGAACCTCAAGTACCTGGTGCCTGTTTCATCACTGGCGAATTTTCTAGTTATCGCTGGCTACGTCGCCACCATGTATATAATGTGCCACGATCTACCACCCATCCATGAGAGGCGGTACATAGCCTCTTGGCACGACCTGCCTCTATTCTTTGGCACTGTGATATATTCTTTCGAGGGTATCACGCTGGTAAGCGTCTCCGTCGTCTACACGTGCTCCTCTCGTATTTATGTAACACGTATAAATTTGGCAATCGGTAACTTCGTCGCGATTCCTTTCTCTAACAAGGCGCACACGTAAACTGTGTGACACTGACACCGACAAAAGTAACATTGACGCCTTTCCACTGGAGAAAAAGCAATTTTCTGACACCAACGATTCTCAACGCCTTTTGAAAGTATTCTGAAAAGCAACGAAGATACTAACAGATTTTTTTTTATATTAAATTGGTTCAAGGTTGTGCTCTCTGTAGGTACCTTGGAAACTGTTGGAGAAATAAATAATTTCCTGACCTGAAACTGTTCCAAAGTTTCAGGCATTTGTATAAAAGTACCTTGAAATCTTGCGGCGATATTCAGATATTTTTGTCATTGAATCATTCAATGATTTCTGTCTCTTCTAGGTATCCTAAAAACCACTGAAGATAAATAATATTTTATTTTAAAGAATTCTAAAGTTTCAGCATCCTGTGCTTGGAATATTAATAAAAATGATGATCATTTTCTAATGTCAAACTATTCAAGATAGTCAAGCTTTTTTATGAAATCAGCTCTAAAACTAGCGAAGACGTTAACATTTCCTTCCATCCTCAAATTATTTCAAGGTCCCTGCCTGCTTCAGTTGCCTTGAGGATATTAGAAAAATAAAATCATTTTTTGTATTTAGAAAATTAGTAAAGACGCCGAAACTTTACAAGCTATTCCAAACTCTCAGTATGCAGAATGATTAGAATAATTCATGATACTTGACATTCTATCAAAAACACATCATTTCACAATGAGAACTACTTAAGGGAGTATACTGAATTATGAGGTCTAAAAATAGCTGTTTTTACGCAACTCACAATTAAAACCTCCTATCGGCGGGAAAGATGCAGGTTGTGATTTTGGTTTGACAAAAAAAAACTAGAAATTTTCATTTTCATAAATTTTTCTTCTATGTAAATTAAGAAAATTCATACAAAAAAAATTTTAAACAACTTTATTATCAAGTTAAAGTAATTTTTTTCACCCAAAGAACTCGTTCTTTTTTTCAAACTTGCACTAATTTCACATTTCACCATTTTTGCCGGTTTTTCTTAGTTCACATGGAAGAAAAATGTGTAAAAATGAAAATTTCTTTTGGTTTTTTTGTGTCAAACTAAAATCACAACCAGCATCTTTCCCACCGATAGGAGGTTTTAATTGTGAGGTGCTCTACATATGTGCTTTGCAATCGACTCAATTTGAATATTTCTTGTTGAAAAAATTTGTACAGGCTATTCAAATATGTATGAAAATAGGATAAAAAGTTCGATAGGATTAATCATTTTTCTCCATCCTAAAAAAATTGACGAGAAACCGCTTTTTTTAAACCTCATAATTCAGGATACCCTCTTAAACACACAAAACATATTCTTGTTAGTTCCTTAACAACGTCGTCTTTGTTCAAAGTCGGTTGTCGTTGAAACACGTGTACAATCTTACCTAATTTACATAAATATTGTACTATCGATCCGTGCCTAACAGTTCTTGAACGTTATGAATAGTATAAAGAAGATAACGAGCATAATTATTCAAATTATTCCACGTGTCGGTAAAAATAAGAATTACATTTTCACTATGAAACCAAATTATTCAGTGTATGTATAAGTGCCTACAGATATTTTGAAATTCACCGCCATTAGAATAATCATACTAACATTCTAAGTTAACTCTTAGTTTTCAGAAATAATGAAATAAATAACAATATTGTTCTTTACTAATTGGATACTAAGTTGTTAAGATAAAGACACCAGTTTTGTCATATTAAAGTGTTGAGGCTTTCTGTTTTTGAATTATTCATTTGAGACTACACGCGAAAAATCTGAAATTCCATTTAATGTTTTTTTTTTCTTTTTTTATTAGAAATAGAGAGAAAGCTTAAAGAATTTTTGTATGTAAAACTTTTGTTAATCAATTACTGGTGCCCCTATTAAATTGAAAATATAATTTAAGATTTCGTTATTAATCGATGCCGTTGCGTTTCAGGTTTTACCCCTGAAGAATGAAATGAAGAAACCAAGTAATTTCAATAAGCCACTCGGTGTTCTAAATGTCGGAATGGTCATTGTGGGAACAATGTTCGTTGCGATGGGTTTCATATCATATTTAAAGTACGGCGATTTAGTGGCTGGATCTGTTACGTTAAATCTCGAATCGTCGGAAGTGTAAGTATAAAATTATTTTCATTACTCGTTTCACGACGTATTTTACGTTTTGCTCGGCCAATGATAACGTTTCTCTCCTATCGATATTTCAGTGTACATGTTAATCACTCGCTAGATTAGTTTGTACAACATTTAACACTAAAACTATCGACGTTCAATGCATATTTCTATTATCTATAACACAATATTTTTTAAATAAAAAATTATATAATTGGTTTCTTATTTGAACAATTATCATCAAAATTTATCGTAAATGTATCATTAATAATCGAGTTATTTTAAAAAGAAGTTCAAAGTACATGAATTTAATTGACCAGGTAGTTTAAGTTTTATATGTTATCTAGACAAAAGTAAATAATTTCAATTACCATTCTATTTTTGTACACAAATGTTCATCAATTTCATTGTTTTTAAATTCAATAATCAAGGAATTACGCAAGTGGTTAGCAAACTTTGTATTGACTAAACGTAACGCTTAATGGTTGTTAATGACATTAAACTAAAATCGCTTTGCCGATTCTACAGTAGATTATTATGCGTCCAGGTGATAAATCGTACTGCGTTATGAATAATCAAAAAAATTCTATCACACACAATGATAGCAAAAAAATAGCGAGACGCAAACGTAGTTAAGAGAAACTCTTTGTAACATAATTTTCTGTTGCATACGAAGGGTGGATGGGAAAAACGTCGTCGAGCATTCAAGGTTTCTACCATATAGTTCTTTCTAGAAGTGCTGTACTGTACAAACACTTACTTATATTAAACAAAGTTTTTCTGTGTTTCAATTTTTTTTTTTCAACGACTATAATAACAATCACGGATGTTTACTCTTTTGCGTGGCCGCCTAATTCTGCATGCAGCCTTAACTTAATGTATGAGTAACATATGAATAACTGGTGAATAATTGTACCGTTTGCTCATGCGACGATGAAAATGAACCGTTAACCACGTTCACGAACGCTCGACCAAATTAATTCTTTTATCTTTCTAGTTTACCGCAGTGTATAAAAGTTGCCATCTCGTTGAGTATATTACTCACGTATGCACTCCAATTTTACGTTCCCGTTGCGATTATTTGGCCGGGGATCGTCGACCAATTTGGCCCTTTCAAGTGGCCAGTTCTATCAGAGACTGTTTTCCGCTCAGCGTTATGCTTCCTCACATGTAAGTTCAAACATCAGCATATTGTTACACGTGGTACTTATGCAATTTCTACAGATTTAACACTTTGATTAAGTTTACTTATGTTCCCATTTTTTTTACATTTTATATCTTCATATTTTATTTTTTTCATTCCATTTTTTTATACCCAATTCCTTTCGAGAAAGTAACTGCCACACGTTACATTGTCGCTTTCGCTATATAGAAATTTTCGCTTTATTTTCAATTTTTTCATTTTATTTCTACATATTTTTTTCATATTGTAAAAGTTACTGTCGCACGTTACATTGTCTGTCGCTGTATAGAAATAAAATATAAAAATCATTGCAACTTTTCACTCGATCATCTGTTCTATGTGATAGATACTATAATATATATATATATAGATAATATTTGTCATGTTTTCAGCTATTGGTATCGTTACAATTTCTCTCCAAAATGTGTTCTCCCTCTGTTATACATACTTACACACCACTATTTTACATGTGCCTAATAATAAACTCACTAATAAAATACAACAATAATAATGCCTTTCATACTACATACTGTGAAATATAAGCTCTAAGTCTCTTCTTTAGATTCCTGCTCTTAATCTGACTTTTCTCTCCTTGATTTTTATTCTGTCTCTATTTTCCTTACCCAATCTGCCATTTTCTTTTCTACCGTTGTCTTCCTTTTTAATTCCCTCTTTTTATCGCCTTCTATTATACGTAAAGTTCCTTTCTTTGTTACACATTCTTACACGTCTTTGTCCTACATACACCTAATAATAAAATTACTATTACAATTCGACCATAAACTATAATAAGCTATTGTAATTTAACTTCTTCTTCTTCTTCTATTAGTACTTTCCTCTCCTTGATTTTCATACTTTCTCTATTTTTCTTACCCAATCTGCCACTTTCCCTTCTACTGTCATCTTACTTTTTAATTTTCCCTTTTTATCGCCTTCTAGGAAATGTTTTAGTGCCTTTACTTCAAATTTGTATAGTTCTTTTTGTCCTCCTCTCTTAGTCAGTATTTATTTCCCTCTCCTTTTCCACACATCACCGCAGCAAAGGGTTAATTTATTATCTGCATATAGAAACAGGAATATACGTAAATTACTCTGTTGCAGTTATCCTAGCAGAGGCGATACCTCAATTGGGCCTGTTCATATCCTTGGTGGGCGCAGTGAGCAGCACCGCACTCGCGCTCATATTCCCGCCGATTATCGAGATGGTTGTCTGTTGGCAGAACGCGACGTTAGGGCTCTTCACGATATCGAAAGACATTATCATAGTATTGATTGGTCTTCTCGGTTTCGCGACCGGAACGTACGAGAGCCTCACCTCGATCATTCAGGCGTTTAGCAAGTAATTTAGCTGCCTGTTGTACATATCGTTGTTTATTGTACTCATACACACGCGACATCAACGGATCATGACATCTACGCGAACATCATAGCCAACGATTGCTGGAAGAGCCGGGGTTTTCATATTATTTCCTGGATCATTATTATTTATTAATTCGATTCTTCAGTTTCAATCAGCGCAAACGGATTACACGCCCTGTTAATATTTTAATCCGTATTTCTTGTAATTTTTTCCTACACGCCTTTTACCGTTTACTTTAAAATTCCAAATTTTATAGAAATTTAAATCTCGAATTGTTAGCGAAATCCTTGATCAACTTCCGAGTGATTTTTGTCTATCAACTTTTAACGATATTCTAAATTTACAAGATAATTGTCTTTTATGATTTGTCTACTTTAAAATTCAAAATTGTATAGGAATTAAAATCTCGAACTGTTATAGGAATCCTTCACCATCTTCCGAGTAATTTTCTCGTCACCTATTCAGCAATATTCTGAACTTACAAGACAGTTGTCTTTCGCGATTTGTTTACATACATATAAATTCAAAATTGTATGGGAATTAAAATCTCGAATTTTTAGAGGAATTGCTGGTATCAATTCGAATATTCCCACGTGTTATTATTAATATCGAATAGCGCTCGTTTTCGAGCGACGTGTTAATTAGTGTTTAATTGTAGAAATATGTTCATTCGTATCTGAAAGAAACCGCGAAGCGATCGATAGGAAGATTCCAAGGTTGATAACGGCAATCGGATTACCATGCATGTCGCGTTGCACGCGTAAGTAACATCATAGCCCATAAAGAGATTGATAGTGTTAGTTGTTTGTGTCCTGAATACGACGTAAAGCTAGCCGTAAGAATTAATGCCGTAGATTCGTAGTAGAACTATTCGATATTAAGATATTACAGATATATTCTACGTAAAAGTAAAAAAACTGACTGTAATTACCGTGATACGTAGGTCGTACAAATTAAAGGAAACCAATGGAACCAGACAATAACGCTGACCACTTTTTGTAATCGTTGTAAATTTGTAATCGTACTCGACGATCGTGTGATATAAAAGACAAAAAATGTAGATTTTACTGGAGACGTGCAAGTGAGTTACGAATAGATAGGATCAAGTTTGCGGAATGTTTTATAGCTTTCCGAAGGCTCGAGATCGTGTTCTTTTCGGGGGTGCATCGATTGTGACACTTTTACGTTGTAGCTGTGAGAAAATGATCATTGTATCGTAGTTGTGTTAGGGCGACCAGCGATTCGATTTCATAATTCGAGACGAAGAAATATATATATTTTTTATAAATACATCTTTGGTACAGTCTTTTTTTTTTATGAGAACAACTCTGATCTGAACACGAAAAGAATACAGGTTGGTCACCCTGAATCACAATGAATTATTAATTAATATTGATATACGCGTCGAACAATGTTATCGTTACGGAAATCGCTTCATCGTAAGGCCACCAAATTTTATTATGCAGCTATCTCTCGATTTACACGGAAGATCATGGCTTTTTTTTTTATAAAAAACTATATAAATCGAAAGGAAGAGAAAGTGTGTATAACTTAAAGTAGAAGAAAGTAAGATATAAACAAGAAATAAAAAGATAATTCATTCATGAAATGAGAATAGTATAAAGGTACAGCTCTTTTCACTTGTTTTTTTATAATGCAAACACTCAATTCAATTATAAAAATGTTACATAAATTATAATTATTAAACATAAAGTTTTAAAAATTTTCGATTAAAAAGCACAACTTTGAATTCATTTAGTGATAACAAACAGAAATTGTTCGCAATTCGTCAGTACCTATTGATAAATGGTACTGAAGAATAATTGAACAAGTACATGAGTAGCATAACTTTCTGGGTTTACAGAATGTTTTTATAAATCCGTTATTTTGAAAACTATATAAAAAAAGGTATCGTGTAAATCGTGGGTTAGGTGTACTCACGAAAGTACTTGCGATGCGAATTCTTTTCATAGCGAATAAACACCTTAAGCGGGAGGTGAATCGTATCTGTAAGTAACTGATGTAACATCGATTTAATTGTACATTTTATTTATTTTTTTTTGTTTCGCAGTATATGGTCAATATTTATAAAAAGAAAAAGAAGAAAACGACGAGAAATTGAATATTGTTTGATTGCACGTTATCATGGATCGATGAACCTATTATACTTTAATACCGAACTTTTTCTATGTGTATAGATATATAGTGTCACTGAAAACGTGATGAAAACATGTTTTTTTTTTTTTTTTTTTTTTTTTTTTAAGAAGAATAAGAAAACAGAAAATTAAGTTAAAATAGTGTAAAACTTCGATATCCGTTTTTAGAAATGGATCGATTTTCCTGTGCGCATGAATTATTGAAAGAGGGTTACTGGCATGCTTTTTCATATGCAAACATTGTCAAATGAAGCTGAAATCAGATATGTAAGGTCTTCATGGCCTGGTTCTTCATAGTTGATATTAAAACTAAGGCTTTCTAAGCCATGTTACTGTGTAAAGTTCACGAAATATTTGACAAACAGGTGGCAAAGGCTTTAGAGTGTACTCCACGCTTTACGAAAACTCTATACGATAATATGGTTCAAGTTAAACTTCTATAACTTCTGATACATGCAATATTCAAGCACAAATTTTCTTTATATTCTGCATTATCAGTACATCCTGATGGTTATGCAAATATTCAATGACCTTTCATAAGTTATAGTTACATGAAATTTTAATTCAGACTATTGTGGGTATAATTTTGTTAATACAGTTCCTACAAATTGTTCACAATTTGTAGGTACAATTGTCACCTCATGAAATAATTTATAAAGTAATAGTAACGATGTATTTAAGAAAAAAATGTTATGTAAAAATTATTTTATTAAGACATATAATTGGAAAACAAAAATTATTTTATTGAGAAAAATAATTGGCAAATAACCGTTTTCTTAAATACAGTCAGTGAATCTTACGAAATATACTTGATTGAAGCTTGGCAGTAACTCAAGGAGTTCATATAAGACTAGGAACATAAGTGATCTCAAATTCAAAAAATCTCAAAAAGCACCCCCTTTGAAAATTAACTCTTTCTCCTACCTGTCGATATTACCTGTGATTTTAGATCGCATCCTGTTAGTGTAAAGACATTTTTTGTGAATGTTTGCGATCGTCCAATGCGTCAAGGTACAAAGAGGTAGATCTTGATCGGGTGGCAATGTGTTAATATCAACTATGAAGCTGAAATTCTTTATACCACAATCGAAGACAGTCAAACAGGCAAAGGGTTTCGTCGAGTAGATCAAACGAGAAAATCAAGTAAAACATATTATTAAGGATATACAAGAAATTATGGAGAAAGTTACTCGATCATTCTGGTACAAACGTTGTGCCACTTCGTGCAAAGATTCGACAGTATCGATATAAGAATGATCATTCTCAGTGACGCAAAATTAAGGTCAAATTAAGCTTTCCAAGATATTTGTTCACTTGGTCGAGACGTCATTCGTCTCGTGGCTAATGTCGATTTTTGTGCAGTTCGCGAACTGACGACGGACTTCTAGGATTTTTCGTTGGCGCCATTGTACCGATATAGTATTAATTATTTAAGCGACTCGCCGATATTTGAAGGTGGGGTACAAATTATTGTACCTGCCACCTTGGAGTACAAATTCTCTCAGGGAAACTTTATACGTGTAGATAGTGAGGTGTCTTTTTTTTTGGTATTTGCAGTGTAAAGTGATGCCCTTCTTTTCTTGGAGGTGGAATGATGATCAATAAACATGCGTGACGAAACGTATTGTCTATTCATGTACCGATGTATTCAGTGTTGGTCGATCGGTTGATTAATTGGCGAATAAATTGTTTGATATTTTAATCGTTACTACTGACAATGAGTGCTGGTCGGATTTTGAGACGGAAGGATCGATGGGATCGATGAAAAGATTTGCTAGCATACCTACGAGAGTAACTTGGTGTCGTTAAAAATGACATTTTTAAATCTTCATAATTTATTCGATTTATACGATTCGGAGGACAGAGTCTTTGGATGATGGAACGATTACTTTTTCGATATAGATCATTCTATGTTTCAGAAAAATTACATAAATATCAGTGGTAGAACTGAACAAATATGTACAAGTACGTAAATAATACGTATTAAAAAATGGTCTCTTAACAAGTGGTACTTTAACAAATTTAAGAGATGCCAATATTAGTTCGATAGTCAAATTGAATAAAATTTTAAACACAGTTGCCTCTGTGAAACTGTAATACAATATGTCGTGTTTGTAAATCCTTTTTTGATATCACGTATGCTTTGAAGATTCTTAATAAAGACATTGTTAATGCTAATAATTGAAACTTTTTCGATACAGCAAATATTAGCAGATAGCAGAAATACAGCAGATGTTAGCAAAAACAAAATCACACATTAAATAAATATGCGTTAGTAATATATGTTCGTGTTTGTATTTTTGTTTTACTTTACAAAAAATTTAGGGCCTTAAATCGTTTCCTGCACCCAGGCCCCTTTATAGAGAAGGCCGGCTCTGCCTTCAACTATAAATAACTCTAGTGTTATAATGATAAAAGTATAGTTTCTTATACTACTAATATTTCTTGAATATTTTTAATGTTTCCGTTTAATTTTCTTAAATATTTTTAATTATGTATGTATTTCACATTACAAATTTACTGAACATTCTGAATATATCTCTGTCATGCATAATTGCAACGTGAAGTTCGTCGAAACCTTACAGTAATATTCAATAATACATGTTTAGACACTTCATCTTTAAAAGGTCTGACTGAATTATTCCTGTACTGAATAAATTAGAAATTTAATTTTGTTTCATTAAGACATGGATTGCACGAAGGAGGAGGTATGCCTTTTAGGTTTACGTGGGAAGTTTCCTCTTAATTATACTTATCTATTTTAGTTGGAAAAAGCAAATGTCTTTCAACTGAGTATCCTGATTCCGTTAATAAAAATTTTGGACATTTATATGCTAATGAAGCACGAATTAAGCCCGGATGAATTTTGCATTTGGTTATTCGCTGGAGAAGAACCAACAGAGAAATGTCAAATTGATTACAACCCTATTAAACGTTTATCTGTAAATCTTGAAGAGTTTAAGGTTAAAGTTCTTCATTTTTTAATGTTGTTAACTGTGACGTAAACTCTATGTTTTCCGTTCCTCAAGGCTTTGTCGAATTCGATACAGGATGGAATCGTCGATTTATTTATGAACATTACTCGTTATGAACAGTTTTTGAAGTCGATAAGCAAAGATTTTTTAAACAAACGGCGCCGTCGAAATCACGATAATTTACACGAAACTATGGGTAAGTGATTCGATAATTATTAAAGTGTTTCTTCTGAATGAAGGTGTATTTATTTTTTTGGAAGAATATATAATTTTATTGAATTCGAGTATCAATGAATATATGTGTACAAACTGCTTACAATACCTGTATATAATTTTTTTAAATATTGGCAATCAGACACACTATTAACTTGAATTAATAAAGCAATTATGTTAAATAATGGTCTTTTAATTCCTTCTTATTTTCAACTTGCTCTCACTTACAAAATTTTTACAATAAGTTTAGGGCTCAATTAGGTAACAATTACAATGTTTCAGTGCTTTTATATATCCTGACGTATCGAATATTCGCTTTATTCTTCGAAGACTCGGTCGACTGCTTCAATCACTTTAAAATACAGAAAATGTTGTTTTTGGTTTCGTACCTTCTTCTCTCGGAAACCTCGAATCTTTTCCACGAGAAGGGTTGTTTATTTTTCGATGAGGATTTCGTCGAACAGAAGCTAGTTTTGCCCCTCTTAGAAGCAACTACCTGTTTAGAGGTTCTCTTCCCATGTTTATTCATTTTTTACTATACAGTATGTTTCAAAAAAAAAATGAAACAATAATAATCGATACCTTCCGAAATAATGTTCGATAGAGACTACAGGATCACTTGAGAGAAGAATTACGAAAAATGGAATACCCTAAAAAGAAACCTACTACTCCCTTATTCATGAATGTCTTGAGTCGACCGAGACGTTTGAAAGTACCTCCTCCAACACCAGAAGTAAGCAATTTCCTTTCTCCACACTTTGAAGAAGAATACATTATTCAAATCGGACAGACAAAATTTATCTAGTTCCTGTGGTTATTTTTATTATTGAATAATTTTTTTTCGTATTTAGAGCAGTACTGCCTTAAGTAGATGAGTGGAAGTTTATTTATCTTGTTTTATGTGCAAATTGAACCCAACGAATCGATTTATGTACAATGAAACCAGATAATATCCTTTAAAGACAATATAACTTCACTTTGCAATTACATCGATCCACTGGAGACAAAAATTGTATCTGTGAAAAATAGAGGTCATTAAATCGTATATAATATAATCCGTGCAGAACTGTGGTCTGGCTCAGTTGCTAAACTCGCCCTGTATATAATAGAATTATTATTATTATTTTTATTATTGAGTGAAAATATTAAGAAAATTATAGAAGGAACAAATGAGTTCCCACAGAGATATTTGAAATTCATGAAAATGATATCATTATTTTAAAACGTATGAAATCATAAATGTTGATTTCCCAGAACTAATTATACTCGTTAAAGAGAAAAATAGAAGAAAATAGTATCGCAAAGAATTGCGACAAAATTATGTTTACGATTTTTACGATGTTTACGTACACGTTAAATATAGCCCTCGATTAATCATTACTGACCGCAATTTTTGTTGACTGCTGGTATGTCAGCACCAGTCTGCTATCAGGGTTAGTTGATAAACGACAATTAAGTAACAAAAGAGTACACAAGTTCAAAAAGTAGCACAGCAATAGAAATAATTACTACACTTTAGTAAACATTCTTTGCGTGACTTGTGTCATGTATTACAAGATAGAGAGCCCATACTGCGTTGAGTATAGTTAAGAGACTATACTGGATACCTTGAAAAGTATGATACCTTACATAATCCAAAACAAGTCATGCAGTCAACGAACATTTACTAAGTAATTAATATTAGATGATCTAAGATAAGTATTAGAAAATGTGGTATTATGTCGAAATTAAAAACGTTAGGAAGTTTACCACGTTGGCTGCCAAGTTAAAATTGATAAAATTTTCTACAAAGTTAAAATATTGTCTCGGGATTATTGAAGAATAAATAATTTAACATTAGTTGTAGTATTTAATTTTTTAACCTCACCAAATTCACGAACCCTATCCAGATTTATTTTCA